TTCCTTTTTGATTCAGTAGTATTACTCATACCATGAAATTTAATCTTTCCTTAGCAGGGATGCTTCAAGAGAGGCTCTTTAGAGACTAATGTGAATACAGCATTTATTAGAAATGCAGTCTAAAGGAAAATGTACACATACTGATCGACCAATATATATTAAATATATTCACACATAAAAGTGAAACTCACAAAAGGAGAAATTATTTTATAAAGACATCAAAAGTGATTTTGTTTTGAAAGCTGCTACATATTTAAATTCTTATAAGTAGCAGTATTTTAGATCTATCAAGTATGATAGTCCATGCTACTATTTTGTACATTGATAGCATTCATTTAAGCTACTGATAGAGACTCACTGCAATTTTATAATTGCCAGTATTCCTCTTCTTCCCCCTTCTTTGATCTTATTCCTGGTTATACTTTGTTCTGACAGAGAATATCCTGAGATGCAACGGTCAGAATGAAATCTCTTCTGAGTGCAGGAATGTATGAACAAAGCATGTTTTAGTCCATATATTCTTGAGAAATTTAATCTTTTTAGCTTCTTAAATACAGATTATTATTTTTAGTCAGAGAAGACCTGGTTTTGACCTTCAGTTAACTATAGAGATGGACTCAAAAAGTGAAAATTAGAATGTCTTACGCTACTACATCCTTTTATTGTACAGTGTAGATTTTTATTGAGTATGGAATTTCAGATTTATGGATGGCTGTTGGAGTAGGAAGACTTTATGTGAAATATATGTGTTGATATTTTTTCAACATGACATTAAAAAGACAATGGAAGCAAACCAGTTTTTCTCTGATTTATTGTATTTACAAGTGCTCATGTATTGACTATTCACTTCACCACAACTGTAAAGCATTTAATGCTGCATTTTATCACTCTCTCATTAGATCATATTCAGTACTAGGACTCGTTCCTAAAGATCTCTCTAGATACACATCACTGTCTCTTGGGAAGCTCCACAGAATGAATTTGTGCCCACCAAAGAGATTTGGTTTATTACAGACTTAGTCAGGGTTTAAATGTTTGCCACAGTACAATTTCTTCCCATGGAAAGAATACTAGTACTAAGGCATGTATACAGGCAGGGTGGCCAGCTGCTATTCACTATGAAAATCTTTTACAGCAACTTCCAATGAGGACAAAATATTCTCTTTCAAGACAAAGACAAAATCAGTTTTTAATAGAATGTTTGTTCTGAGCACTTACAAGGAAGGAAGAAAGGATGGTAACTGGGAAGGAAGGAATGATTATAACTGAATTTTGGAGCTGAGAAGGAGAAGTGGAAGAGAAGGTACAATGGGGAAATGCAGGGTGACAACAAAGAACTGGGCTGTCTAATATCAGGGGATATCTTACTGACTTCTGTACACCAGCTGTGTGAGCGGAATGGTGAAAAATAAACCCAGTAATCAGCTCTTGTGGTGGCAATTCTTTTGCATCAAACTTCATGGCTAACAAAAAGAAAATACAAGGAAATAATACCAGAAGTGCTCAAGAACTCTAAATGTTGTTTACCTGCCCTTAAAGAAAGAAAAGGGGTAAACTCTGAGAGTAACAAAAACCTTTTACTGAGCCTAGAGATGAGTATGTGACTGCAGTAATGGCAGAGAAATGCAGTTGCTGTCACTTCTTTTTATATTCCTTGGTGGTTAGTGGAAAAATCAGATACTCAGTATCTTTCTACAAATATTATCACAGCTGTAGAATTGTGGTACTCTTTTATAACACACACAAGTTAGTGAGTACCTAAATTGGCTTTTTTGTATTTCATATTTTCTTGGATACATAGAAACTACACCATGCAATCTGGAATAATGAAAAGAAAGTGTGTGCTGTGTAAAAATCTCTTATGTCTCTATAAAAAGCTCACAAATCTTCAGATGCTCAAAACTAAACAGTGAAAAACAAATTTGCTGTAGAATTAGAACTTTCACCTAGAGATTTAATGCCCTTTAACTTCTGCCCTATGCTTCCCTATTCTTGTTACTACTGAAAAAGTGAATCAGGAAACCAATTTGCTTTCATTAATTGAGAAGAGTCAGTATGACATCTAGTGGATGAACAGCTACCAAAAGATTGTGGACAACTAGAAATCAAATAAAGAATACTGTTAGAAATAGACACAGAAATTTTTAGGGTGTGCATACACAATCTCCTGGTAGCCATACCTCAGCTCAGAATCTGACACTGAGAATTCACCTTCTTATGTTTTAAAGGAACAGAAGAATCTTCTTGGCATGTAAGAGACAGGAATGAGCTTTGACTTTGTTCACTTCTTGATGTCAGTAGTGAAGATCTTGGTACCTTCCATGGTATGATACCTAGCTCCTGTCAATATAAACTATGATAACTGTGTGGTGACTGAGCACCGACATGGGGTGCCCTGAGAGGCTGTTGAAATTCCCTTTTTGGAGATAATTCAGTTTGGACATGGTCAACTTATGCTGGATCAAGAGATTGTGATCAGCACTTAAACTTTGGCTCACATTAAATTACTAGTGACATCCTTTGGGACCTAATTTTGGTACTAATACTCCTGATTATCCTTATATCCTTGTGACCTTATGACCTTGGACTTATTATCCTTATGACCTTGGAAATGTGACAGATCATCATAGAAGCAGATTTTCAGACACAAAATGAATCCAAGAAGAGATTATTTACCCATTGGAGTAGCAGGGCTGCTATTTTGCATTACAACAGAACAGTGATATCAACAAGGTTCAACCCAAGACACACACAAAGTGCTGTGTCTATGTTGGAAAATTCTCACTCAGCAATACAGCCTAGGGATCAACACAGTACAAAGCAGCTTTGCTGTAAAGACAGTAGGTCCCGGTGGACACTGAGGTGAGTTTGAGTCAGTAGTGTGCTTTGTGGCAAAGGAGGACAACAGCTGACATACTGGAGCGAGTGCTGGAAAACACCTCCAAGAGCACAGGATGTTGAGGGAGAGAACAAGATCTCATATTTCCGTTTACAGGAATCTGTATGAAAGGTAAAGAACCTTTCATACAGATCTTAGCCAGATCTTATCAAAGGACCATAGGACTGGGATAAAAAAAAAGCAAGTGATAACTTAGAATGTGGGAAATTTCTATTAGAAATTAGGAGAAAGTTTTCACTGACAGATGGTCAAATGCTGTCCATAGAAGCTGTGGAAGTTTGAAAAACATGCAGCCTGCATATTCTAAAACTTTTGAAAAACTTCTGAGGCTCCTGCAGACATATTATCAGTTGGGAACCTGCTTTTTGACATGAGGGATAGGTAATTATATAAAAAAAATTGGAATATAACTTAATTCTCAGCTAAGAATTAATGTAGCTCACATGCAGAGATGGCAGAAGTAAACTTAAAAGTACAACCAGTTAGAAGAAAGAACAATCTTAGTCTGTGGTTACAAGAGCTGGATGTGTTGCTCTTTATCAAAGGATCGGTTTCACAGTTTCAGTTATCACCTCCGTAATGTGTGGTGGATGGAAAAGGGTAATCAGCTAGGGCTGACTCGTTGGTGGAGCTTCACAGAAACATCTATTTTCAATATCAGCGTGAACTTCCATTTTCATCATGGCATTTTCACCATGCCACACTGAGCTGTAGTTATTTTCACAGCTGAGTTACTTTGCTATTACAAACCTATTACTTCTCCATTAAAAATTGTATTGAAAAACTGTAGACTCGATTCTGCACACATTCGCAAGGCACAAAAAGCTAGCTACAACATTAGCTGAAATGCACAGCTTTCCACAATGCAGCTGAAAGTTCAGAAACTTCAGAGTATTTCAAAAGCAAGTGAATATGAGAACAACAAATGGAAAATACTGTTGTAAAAAGTGAATAAAACAGAAGTATCTGAACTGTCACTATCAAGTCTTATCCTGTCAAAGTAAATAGCTGATGACATTTAACTTTACCAGTTCCTTGTCTGCTAAACTGCTTTCAGACTCGTGTAAAATCATTATCAGTATATGGTGTAAAATGTAAAATTGTTACAGTATACGTATGCTTTCTTTTAAGTTTAAAAATCAGGTACTGAGCCTTAAGAACAATAAACACTGTGAAATATTGTAAGTAATTACAATAATTAATGTAATGTAAATGAATGTAATTAAAAGTAGTTACACTGAGTCAGATTCTCAGCTGACTTACCTAAAGTTCTGATTTACATTGTCTAACAGTCTGATTATGTTTGTATATAGATTGTCTTAATCTCTGATGAGAAAAACTAATGAGGTGAGACAGCAAAACTCTCCGCAGTTTCTCAGCTTCACCTCAGCAGCAAAATCTGCAAAATGCCAGCTCTGTGGAATCCCTCCCTGTTTAGAGTAACTTGCCCCTTCCACTTTCACAGACATCTCCTGTCATTACTGGGAAATTCTGTAAAAAGTAATAAAAACAGAAATAGGGTGACTATTACCAGACAGTTTTCTGAAGACGAGCAGTGTAATACGAAAAACAAAGGAAATCCCGATGGGATTAATTTGTTTCTGCTGTTATCAAAATGAATTCATTTAGAAGCAGATCTCAAGTCATCACTCAGTACCTATCACACAAACTATTGATGTGAAATAAACAGTGGCAGACACTCATGCAGGAACAGCACTTAAACATGAAACACAACTCTCAGAAATCCTCGATGAAACCATAGTTTCAGCAGATGAGCATTTGGCCTAGAACCAGTCAGCTGTCGGCATGAGGCTTACTTAGGGGTGAATGGTCCTTTCAGAAGAATGGAATTATGATGTTTTGTGTCTCAAAACCTTGCGTCAATCCACCCCCAAAAGGGACATCGGGACAGAAAGAACAGCTCTGAAATCAGGAGAATCTTGTTTGGGAGCACATTTTGTTTTTTCCTGAAGATTGTAATTTGTCAGGCTTTGTGGTTTTTTTTATATCTTTTTACAGCATATCTGCTTTATTGTTTATCTCTTAGCACACTCTCATCCTCAAAGGGCCACTGAGGAGGGACGGAAGTTGTAGCTGAGATAGAAGCTGCTGTTTTTAGCCTGATATGCACACTCCTGAAGCTCCATCCTACTTTCATCACACTTCTCAGAACACAGTCCCGCCACAAGCCTTCAGCAGAAGAGCAGAGGAAGAGGTGTTTCCATCCAAAAGTACCGAAGCCATCACCGTGCACCCTCTAATCCTGTAAAGGTCTCTCTTCTGACACAGCCCATCTTGCGCCAATTGCAGGCACGGCATACCGCCACGTTTCACCCTGCAGCAGCTGGTATCCGGGAGCACTCTCCAAGCCAGGTAATTCCAAGCCACGTAATCCCAACCCACTACCCACATTCCCTGCCCGGGCTGCTGCCTTCCAATCCAACCGGGAGGCACCCGCCCCTTGCCGGGCTCCGCTGCCCCACGCAGGAAGGGGCGGTGCTGCGCGGGCTCCTGGCGTGTAGGGTGCCTCTCTCAAATGCTTCCTTTAGAAGAGTTCACGTTCAGAAATTGCTGTTACTTTTCCGAGCCATACAAGTAAAAGTGAAAATCTCACTTCTGCCTTTTCCATTCTCCTCCCTGTGCTCAACAGTTTAAAAAAAAAAAAAAAAAAAAGTGATAATTCCACTCTTGCTTTTTCGGAAGGTTTCTCAGTCTGGGCTGTTTTCGTATTGACTCACTTCGAGATCGCTGTGTTTCAGTGCTGAATTCAGAAGGTTTGTGAGTGCAGCCTGTAACTGCCTGCCATTTGGAAGGTTACCTCTCTGCATCCACTATCAACCTGCGTTGTGAGTAAACACTTCCTTGTTTGGAAATTTAGGTGGATTTTTATTTTAACCAATATCTTGTTTTCCTGACAGGATGGTGTTTAGATGTACCAAGGTTCTGATAAGTGCCTTCTAGATCCTTTCTCTTCATTAATCCTATGTGAATTGTGGTGCTATATAGTCATGCGTGAAAGAGACTGACATTCCCCAAAAAGCCTTCCTGACTTCCTGGCTTCCTCACTGACCCTCCAGACATTTGTTCAAACAGTCTGAGTTTCAGAAGGATCTATTGTTGTTTGTTTTGCTTTGTTGTAAAGAATGCCACAATCCTTTGGGATACAAATTCCAGTTTCCAGAAGTGTTTATCAAAATGAGTTACATGACCAAAACATCTCATTGTATCAGCCTATGTACTATATAACATAGAGTTAATGCAGTTTGCACAATTTGGAATGCTCAAGTTTGCTTTAAGATTTTAATGTGTTAGAGATGACACAATGATTCTAAGAACTGTTTTTATAATTGGAAGTCCAGCTGTAGCTTTAAGCATGTGGGAAATTTGAAAAACATGCTTGAAGCTGCTGCTCCTTCAGACACCTTACAGACAACTTTGTGTCATTTTTGTTTTTAACTTTTGTCTTTGAATCTCTCATCCTCTGCTATTTTGCCCTGTGAATATTTTTGAACTTCTTCTGAGAATCATTGTCCTCATATTATCACCCCATTCCTTTCGGAAAGTTAAAGACCTTATTCTGTTCCTTGAAGAATACTGATTGTAGTTGAATTTTACCTAAATTATATCTTTTTTTTTTTTTTTTTTTGTCCTCCCTGGTGTTCCACTGAAGAGTACTGCCAACTATATGGCTCAAATAAAAATACTTCTAGCCTGGAGAAACTCATCAGGTCCAATAGCAGCATAAGATGAAGACTAAGGCGGTGTATTTTACTTGGTATTTGTAGTCAGGTATCTCAAACCTGGTTATTACTAAGTAGTTTGGATCAGATTTTGTTCTTTAATTCCTATTCCAAGAACCAAGGGCTATACTGTGCTTTCATCGAAACATCAATTTTGTGCTGATGTGATGTGCCAATAAAAAATGGGATTTAGAATTAAAATCTGACGATATATAATTTTATGTTAATATAGTGGATCATGGTTTCATTGTCTGTGACAATTGTATTTGTTGTAGATGTGAAAGGATGAAAATGAAAAGAAAATTCAAGACAGAGAGACCCTTCTTTTTTTTCCCCCATAAAACATAATAGTTTGATTCTCCGTGTACAGAAGGGAACCAAAACCAGGTCTGAGTGCATGGCCACTTGGAGTTGCTTGTTGCAGTATTCAGCACCCAACTTTCTGCTGCTTTCTAAATTGGGATCTGTCTACCAGTCAGTCTGAAAAAAAGGGATGTGAAATAGTTCTTTCATTTTCTTACAGTTATTTATGGGAAGATGGCACACTTGTAATGAGTTGAGGGGAGAGCAGCTATATATCTTGATGTAATTCTGGAGTATTACTTGAAATGCAATAGTCTACTTCATCCTGCTTGTTTATATCACAGCAAGTTTTTGGCTGTAAATTTCAGACAGGTCTTACAACAGTAAATATGTATCTTCTCAAATTGCAAAAGCTTTAGGTTGAAAAGACAAATGGGATGCTCAAAGAGATAGCTGTGTGTGAAAAATCTCTCTTGAGTACATCATATTTGTACATGCATGTTCAGGTTGATGATTAGGTTGATGACTAAGGGCATTTGTATTGGCTGAAATCAGCATCTATGCTTTCTGCCGTGTTGGCAGAACTGAAGCATGGTCGTAGGACTGGCTCTGCCCTTGTTTGCCCCCAGATGAGAACATGAGCATTCCCAGCTGGTACGTATTTGCTCAACAGATTAAAATGTAAGACAAAATTATAGACTTTGCTGTTTTCCAGCGGTTTAAAAAGACACCTGAATATCTGATCTACCAATGTTGCGCTATTCTTCCGGAAAATAAGGGAATTTATTAGCTGTGTTTCTGTAAGGTCTTGTCTTGCAAATACCATACTCTTTGTAGGAAAAAAAAAAAACACCACAGAACACTGTAAAAAAAAAAACACACAGAACTTGGATTGGAATCCAAGTGTAGATGTTCCTCAAAGACTGTCAGTTTAATCAGGAATACAAAGGACATTAAGCAATCTTGAAAATGAAGGAAGGAAACCCGTCATTGTTTTCTGAATTTGAAATAAAACCTGCCAAGGAAAACCTAGATAAATAACTTGATACATCAAAATACCTGTTATGGTAAAAATGAGTAACTTTCCATTTGAAAGGCCCTCTTCAATAATGGGCATTAATTGTGCTTCTCACAGCGCTCAAAGAGGTCTGTATCATTGCACTTGTGATGAACTGTGAGTATATTTTCCTTAGGCTTTCAGTGTGACCAAGAAGAACTCAGTTTCATTTTTTCTGGAGAAAAAGTGAGAAGTAACTCAAGGAAATGAATCTCATGTTTTTTTTGTTAATTTTTATAACTGAAACAGCCACAGGTAAGTATAAATCCTCTTTTCAACAGTAGAACCTTCAAAATATTTGCCAAAATAAGGACATCTTGATAGTTTTTCAGACTGAGATTTTTGTACTTTGCATTTAAGAACAACATCTTAATTTTCTTCAGTTTCAGCCTAGCTCCAGACTTTGGAAATGTCATTTATAGTAACAAGATTATGAATTAAATACGCTAGAGATGAAGACGGATAGAGACCCCTGATTCTATTGAACGGGTGCATGGCTGTATGGAGAGCTGCAACAAAGAGGAAAATGATCCTGACTCTGTGGCATTCAGAAGTGTAGTCTCAATAACAGCTAGAGAAAGACAATCTCTAGGACAAATAGGATTGAAAGCTTATTTATTCTTGACTATTTGTGCTAGACCGGGGTTCCTTTTCTGTATTTCATATGACTTTCACATGGGAAAGTACATTTGGAAAATTTGATTAGAAAAGCAGACTTTGAGACTAGATTTTTCACACAGAACCTTGTTTGGAGATAAATTTTCTAAAGATACGACGCTTTAAAGGAATCTTAGCTTGTAATTATTGGGCATTAATTAAGAAGGAAATGTACACCTCAACTCATAGACTCCGCTTTTATGGCAGTTGACCAGTTATGAGGATTAGCCATCTTTGTCGAGTCCAACCACATGAAGAAATTTTCTGTTTGTGGCAGCTGCTTTATTATAAAGTGAGGCCAAATTCTGCCATCTATGCCCATTTTGGACCCACATGAAAGAATTTTAGGGAAATGACCATTTTTTTATCCTTGTATGTCTTCTAGTTTTGGTTCAGTAAAATAGACTGAAATAGATTTTGTTGGAACAAATAAATTATGTCAGTCTACTCTGCTAAAAAAAAAAAAGTTGTTTTATAAAAGACTTGCTACGCAGCAGATCACTTTAAAGTCAAGCTGATATTATTTTCTGAAAGAGTATTAAGCCTTTTTCCCTCTTTCTCTGAAGAGAAGCTGTGTCCTCTTCGTGCCTCCATTGATGTACTAGAAGGGGAGTATTTTTACCTTTGTTTTCCTGAGTCAAAACTACAACATTCTTGGAAAGAAGAATACACAATAAACTGGTACAAAGAAATTGCTGGAAGGCAGAAGCGAATAAATGAAACACACAGAATTGTATCCCAAATGAATTTTTTGGAGTTTTGGCCAGCTGAACTTGGTGACTCTGGGAATTACTTTGTCACTCAAAGGTGGGTACACAGCCAGTGGATGAGCATCCTCCTTTGCCCTCATCTATGAATTTCTTTGTCTTGCTTTGTATTGTTTGTGGTATCGACACAAAGGAACTGTGGAGAACTACATTAATTGTGGTGTCACAGTTTCTCAGTCACCACCCAAAGGGATTTGCAGTACATGCAAATAGCTGTAGGCAGATACTGCCTATCAAAGATTGGATAAAACAAGTAGCATTTTTTGATGTTTTATGGCTAATTCTCTAAGCATAAGGAGAGACAGACACTCCTGTCAACTGCCAAGTAAAAGGAAACATTTTAGGAAATAATTCTCCACTATGAGGGTAGTGAGGCAATGGAACAGATTGCTCAGAGAAGTGGTGGTTGTCCTATCTTTGAAAGTGGTATAAGCCAGGTCAGATGGGGCTTTGAGCAACCTGATCTAGTGAATGGCAACCCTGCCCACAGCAGGGTGATTGGAAATCTATCATCTTTATGGTCACTTCCAACCCAGACCATTCTTTAATTCTATAATTTGCTTGTCCTCTACACCAAACCTGTTCTTACTGGTATTACACTCCTGTGTTGAGTGGAGCTCGTGCTGTGATGTCTACTGATTAAATGTGGAATGAAGTAACAGCAGCATAGATGAACTCTGGTTTCTATGCAAAGCCTTGCATACCTGGAGCTGTTCATGGAGCAAATAAAATAATTGGATTTAATTTCTTACCACCATAGAACATCACAAATCAAAAGGGGAAGTAAGGTTGGGCCTCAAGTGATTGTGGTATTCCTTATCAGACCATGAGGAGGTGATGGGAAAAGATCCTGAATAAAATTATTAGGATAGAGTTTGTTAACATGATTATTTGTTCAATAACACAGAAGTGATCCTCTGTGAAATATTGTGATTATCTGATGTACCTAAGAAGGAAACTCAGAAGAAAGTTTTTGATTTTATCGAAGTATTCATTTGCAATTGAGTTTTGATTTTGTTACGAAACCCTTTTTTCATTTTCTAACATGCTGTGTTATGATACTACCTTTGAAAAATGTGTTATAGAAGAAAGCATTTTTATTTATGAGAAAAAATTTCTGAATTAAAAGAAAATATTTTGGCACCCTTGAAAAAATTGAAACAATTTTTAATTAATTTATTTAGAATTTCTCCATGTTAGACCCATGCAGATATTAGGTGTTTTTTTGTTTGTTTTTAAGATTAGAATGAAGGGTATTGGAACAACAAGTTTTATGGTTTTTTTTTTTGTTTGTTTGTTTTTTTTGATGGGATTTTCACTGTATCTTGAGATTAGTTTTTCTGATGGTTCTCAGTACAGGAAAGCATACTAAGAGCAGTTGAAGACTATTTGCAGAATCAGTTTTCTGTGGTGAAGGAGGACTTTCAGGAGTTAATTGACATTGAAGAACTGTGGATTACTGTGAGCTACTAAATTGATTTAAGATTTAATAAGATTGACAAAATGAAGTTTGTTTCATAACATTTATATTAGGCTAAAATTTTGGTTTAAAAGTAAACAAGCTATGCATATTTTCACTTATCTGTTTGATAATTAATAATTAGTAACAAATAATTAATTTAGTTATGAGAATTTGTAAGGTATATGGGAAATGATTTTTTAGCTGCATAGGTAAACAGTTTTAATTGACCAAAGTGTCAATGAAATTCACTGCAGGATTTCAGGAACTATATGACAACACAGGATACATATTTTGCAAGCTAATTAATTATTTCCTGCTCTGTTGCAACTGACAATATGCAAGGAGAGAGAGGTGAAAATGTTGTAACAGTGTATGTATATTGTGTTATCCACTTATTTTTTGCTTAAAGAATAATCAGAAGTTTTCTAGTTCAACAGAATTGTTCTGCTGAGACATAGCATATATAGCCAAAGATGTATATGTTGATGTGTTTGCACATTTATTAATGCAGTAGACTGAGGACATAATTTTAGGAATTAGTGGACATCACCTGAAAATCTGAGCGTGTCCACCTTCAGCAACATCTCTTGAACATAAAGGATTTCAAAGGCACTGGATGTGGGAGAGGTAAACAGAAATCTGTGTCACACATTTTTGGCAGGATCTCGAATTTGTGTGGTTTTTGTACCTATTTCCTGTGGTTGGCAGAGAAAAAAATAACAACAACAAAGAAACCAACAAGAAAGCAGGTCATCTTGTGGCTCTGTACTAATGACCTTGAAATAAAGAGTTCCTGAAAAAAATTAGTGTGTGGAGATTCATGACAGACACCTGATATATAATAAGTTCTTAACACTGCTTATTTTTTAAGGTGCTTAGAGCTGTTGAAAGCAGTGGGAATGCACACATGTAGAGATAATACTGTATAGAAGGCTGAGTGTCAGTTTTGTTTTGTAGATTGAAATATTGATGTAACACTGGATTGTTGCACTGAAACAGCTTAGAACTGTGTATGTATGCAGTCTTTATGGTAAACTTGGATTATATGCCCTAAGGGCTTTCACTTCCCTGTATGCTTTCCTGAGTCAAGCTGTTTTTTGTTCCTTTTTTGTGGGTTTGGTGGGTGAGGTGGAAAGTTTGTTAAGCCAGAAGTTGTTGTGTATGCCCAAAAACTATCACAAAAGAATCACAAGTGATAGAAATATAACAGCTCAGAAAGGAATATTACAGCTATAACCTTTAGAGAAAAAATGCAAGTAGAATATAGTAGATATCTGGATGATCATGGTCAGCTTCTAGAGATCTAGAAGAGGCATTTTTATAGCATATTTGCATTTCCTTTTGTAGATATGAGACGTAATGAAATTGCTTTAGAAGAGAGAGTTGCTGGCTCTTCTATCCACCTGTGGTGGCCAGCAAACTGTAGAGCTCTGTTCAGTGGAGACTAAAACGAGATTAATTCTTTCAAAAATGCTTTCTTTTGAGGACATGCTTAAATTCGTAAGTGATTCAGTAATTCATGAGACTTGCAGAGTTTAGAAATATTTCCAAAATTTTGGTGATTATCTCCACAGTATTAAACAATGAAAAAACAGGACTTTGTGAACAAAACCAGAATCGCCTATTTTATTTTTAATATTTTTATAATAAATAGATTTCTCAGTTACTACTTTAGACCTTATCAAAGCATGGGAAATTAAACCTGCAAGATCAGTAGCTGATTCAAGCTACTTAAACTCTTTTATTTCTATGTTTAACTATGTATGATGCCAGATATTTGATTTCTTGTTCTGGTAGATATATCTTGTACTACATCTACCAGAACAAGAACAGTGTTGTCACATTTCATAACATAATTTTATTGTCAAATGCGTTATGATAGGTAATTGAGTTTACATTACCTCTTTTACTGTGGGAAATAACACATTTGAGATGGAAGAGTAATAAAGGGAATGTAAATAATCAGTTCACAGTACATGTATTTTTTACCTATTAGAGCTTGAAGATCTTACTTTTATTTTGTTATGTAGCTTGCTAAGCTGAATTCCTTTAAAAAGCTCTTAAAACTGGTTTTGCAAATCTTTTTTTTTTCACAGCAGTGGAAAACGAAATTTCACAATTCAAAAGTGGACCTTGAATGTACTTGAAAGAAATAGAAGCAGCTGTTTCAATCAAAATCATTTAACAACTGAAATTCAAAATGCTGGAACTGGTCACTCACTGAAATGCAATGATCTGTCTGTCAATGAAAATGACAGCATAACATGGTATAAGGTAATAAAAAAATCAAAGCATTGTCTATTGATAGAACATCTATTGATAGAACATCTAATTGCAGGAAAAGTGAATTACAGAGACTTTTAGAACCATCAAAAACCCAATAATACTTTAGTTTTCCAATAAGTCTTCAGAGAGATACACAGAATAAAGTTTCTCTCTGTTCTCAATGTGTATCAGACCTAGTTCAGGTCACTTTAGGCAAATCTGATCTTTGGATCAGTTTTGCTGATGCACAGACAACAGATGAAGCACCTGTAACTGTGGAGTGTTGGTATAATCAGCCATTAGATTTAGGAAGCCCCCTGCTCGCCACTTTGACCATTCATAATGTAAAGTAATTCAGGCAGTGCTCTCAACTTTTAGTGGGTTGGATGTTCAAGTGTTGCATTTAAATGACAGTACTGGAAATTGGGGCCCCACCTCCTTTGGGTCAGGTAAATGCTGTTGAGATAGTAAAAGAGTGATTCTTCATTCTGAATATCGTTTTTGTCTTTTTTAAGGTGTTGAATATATATTTCATATATATAATATTTTCTTGCTTTATTGATGCAGGACTGTAAGAACTATGAAAATGAGAGGGGACGGGAACTGGATTTTAAAACCTTATCAGTTCAGCACTCTGGTATATATACCTGCAAAATTTCCATCAGTCATGAAGGAAAGCTATACCACAGCACCAATACAATTAGGCTGGTAGTAGAAGAAGGTAAGAAAACTTGAAAGTGAAGCATGTTTTCTGTTTTCTTCACTGTGGAAAACGTTCCCTACTAAATCTGTTTGTGATTGGATGTCATTCATCATCTCTTACTTACAGTTCTTACCTGATAAGTATTTTGATGTAATTAGATCTGGCAATCTGATATATATCTTGCAGTAATTCAAAAATAAAAAGCAGAAATTCATGTACTACCAAGTTTGGAAAATTTAGTAAGTTTTCCCTGCAGTTTTAGGTGGCTTCTTTTTTTTTTTTTTTTTTTTTTTTTTTTTTTTTTTTTTTT